ATGTTACAATTGAAGATGAATGTTGTTGGAGATATAGCCGAGCGAGAAACGAAATAAATGAATGGCAGAAAGTGGTGCGATACTTCAGTAAAATATTTAATTCATTTTACCTGTGTACCATTTAACGACGGTAACGACCTCTCCAAATACCTCATGGAGATAACAAACCTGTGTGAAAGTTATATCAACCCCTTCTAACATACTTGAAAGTTGTAGACACCATGTAAACGTAAGTTGTAAAAGACCACATACAATTTCAACACCACTGTAGATATTTACATGTGATCAAATCAACACGAAAACCTAAACGTTACCTGAGTGCATTAATAAAACAGCCTTTTAAAACACTTCAGCTACTCTAAGGTAACGGCCTCCACAACTTATTTTGTTTCAAAATTCGCTACGCTCGATGGTAAAAGATCGTACATCCTTCAACAAAGCGATTTCAACCACTCAGTGTTTTGAATGACGCGCGCAGTGCGCAACTTGCAATAACACGGCAGTAATTTGGCGGCTAAATGTCACCAAACTCTCTCAACAAAATGACGACAAACCATGATACATAACAAAATAACTTTAATTGCTAGTCTGAAATTTATTACATCAGTTTGAGCGGTTTTCATTTGAGTGTTGAAACCAATTCGAATCTGCTTTGGTTTTGCACTACCACGCTTTATAATACAGATAGGACCCCGCACGCGCTCTGATTGGTCAAAACCCACGTTTTATCAGAGTATAAAACACAAAAAAAGCGTGTTTTATTGTTTTTCGCCTATATCATAAAGCAAATGAAGAAGCCTGAGCCGTATATTACACTGTGATGAAACACTCCGGACACTTGAGAACACTTGAGAAATGTAGAAAACACTCGCCTGCGGCTCGTGTTTTCTACATTTCCCTCGTGTCCTTAAATGCCCGTCGTGTTTTGTCACAGTGTAATACACGGCTTAGGCTTCTTTATTTGTTAAATAAAGCGATTGGCTTGAAAAAACTCGCGCCATTTTGTCATCCAATCAGAAGTGAAACTCAAACCAATCCTGACTCGCTCGCACACATTTTCCCGCCCTTTGCGTCGGCTACATGTATGCTGTGGTATGACTCAACTCAGCCATTTCTTGACTTTGGGTTGTCGAATCTCTAACCACAACACAGCAATCGTTTTTCGCGAGTGTTTTTCCGACCACTGAATGCAAAAGTGATCTGTTTCTTTCGTTTTCGACCTCTGAGAGCAAAAGCATCCACTTGGAACCCTCAAAGCCACTTTTAACGCAATGGTAAAAAACAGACCTTGCTTGTTGCGTCAACAATAAGTATGGGTTATTGACCAAGTGTGAGGTCAAGATGGCTGGATATTGACCAAGTTCTTTTTTTGCGTGTTTATGGACCGAGACGGAGTCGAGGTCCATAAACATGCAAAAAAAAGAACGAGGCCAATATCCAGTCATCTTGACCGAAAAAGCTTGGTCAATAAAGGATTTATTATATGGCTTTCGGGGAAATTTTTCTTGCGGGACACGGCGGGCACTCCCGAGCGGGCAAGATAGCTCCATCTTGCCCGCTCGCGTAGCCAATCACAGCGTAGGATTTGATTCATCTTGCCCGCTCACGGAGCTGGCCATATAATAATGTACGACACTTTTCGCGTTTGAATATATTTAGTTTAGTTTTTACACATTATATTCGACACAATTACTGGCTCGTATTCTTTTTTTAGCTTCATTTCCTTTCTTTGTAAGCCTACTGTTAAATGTCCTGTTTGCAACATTGTTTATTTATATTTTGTATGAAATAAATTAAACTCTTACATCCAACCAAAAGCAAAAACATTTCGCGCCAAATTTCTGAAACCTGAGGCCATCTTGCGCGCAATGCGGCACTGAGCACCCGGTGCTTTAAAGAGTCCCTGGGGAATTCCCGCAAATTTTGGAAGTATCCGCCCAGATTATGCAATAACTGAGCACCCGGGGCCTTAAAGACCCTTTGGGGACCCAAAAATCTGGGAATATCCCTCTGGCTTTTAAAATGACTGCTCACAAGAAAGACTGTTTCATTTTTTTTACAAATTCATCTCATTGTTAGTCTATTGTTCACCAACATACTTCATTCATCCACATTGCAAAGCATTATTTCGCAACCCGTACTTAATTCGCACTTTACCTCGGCACGCTGATGTGAAACCAAATTCTCAAATCAAACATTAACAGGAATCTTCACAGCTAGTAAGGAGAATAAAAAAGATTCAGGCTTCTGCTTAAGAAAATTATTCAAAAACGTCTCAAACAGGTCTCCATCGTTCTGGATGATTAAGGAAATATTTTTGCTTGGAAGAGGGGCCATGCAAGGGGCAGAAAACGACATGTTTGACCTCTTGTGTATTAACCAATAAAAAAGATTTCAACTACCATAATGTTTGCACTGAAGTCTTAGTATATGCTACACTGAATCGTCCCTTCCATGGGTGAATCCGCTGATATGGCATGAACATGCAAGGGACAGCTGGTTATTTCCTTCTTAGTCCCAGTTCCCTTCTCGACGTTCATCCGCCTCCAGATATATTCGAGTTCGCTCATTTGATTATCTTTTTATCTGCCGTGAAAATCTTCACCTCTTCTTTTCTTGCCTGTGTCTTCCCTGAAGGAGAAAACGAAAATGAGATTTCAGTGTCTTGTTCCCATTTTGATTAGGTAACAAAGACTCTGTTCATATTTGATATTTCCATATTTCCATATTTCCATGGATCGCTTCTGCTAATATACAGGTCAACGCATTGGCTGCAAAACGCACCTCTTAAGCCCTGGAGGACACCAAATGCAAGTCAAATTACATTGTTGGGTTCATGTTTTCGATAGTATTCTAACACATTGATACTTGAAGAAACTTAGTGTTTTGCATTTCTTCCCCACTTCCAGCCCTCTAAGCACTCCTCCTCCTGCAACTCCTGTCTCCCATACCCCTCCCACCCCCTATTCTCTCAGGCTTCCACCTGTCTCCTGACCCCCACCCACAAAACAGCCTTCGTAACAGTCAAGGCAAGAAATAAAATCTAAGGGAAAATCCCTGGAACCAAGGTATCTCAGCTTAGGGCAAAGGGTTGCTAAAACCCTTTCTGGTTAATAAAATCCTTTGTTTTAAGATGTTTTACCCTATATTACTTTGCTATTAACAGAAACTTAGGTATCTGGTCAAAAGGTCCCCAAGACAAATGCTCTCTCAAGAGTGGGCAGAAAATAATTAATTCACAAATGACAACAACTTCTTGTAAGGAAAAGAAAACAGGCTACATGTACCTTTCTCTTAAAATGTGCTGAGCTTGTCCCATATAAAATTTGTCTGGGGGAGTTTTGACCTAGAACCTAACAGAAAGTTAAAGGCTGGTTGGCCTGTGACACAAAGTAACTCATACCTAGTGAAGCCCTGACTAGTTACCAGGTTCTCTTGTAACAAACGGTCCTCTTGAATTATACTTGGTAGTTGATCACATTGTGTTGGAGGCAAAAGGTTGGGAATGAATCTTGCAAACAATACTGGATTGCGTGTAGAAAATTCTGAAAAAAATACAAATTAGCACTGCACAATTTCAGTTGTGAAAGATGCAAATAAACACCACTACACTCATTCTAAGTGAAGTAAGGGTGGCAAATGAGCTTCAAAAATTGAGCAAAAGGAAATCAGTTTAACTGTTAGTTCTGTAAAACAAGTGCAAAATCAATGGGGTTTTTCTATTTTCCCTGTGTCACATCATTTTGGCAGCATGTTAAGTGTGAAACAAGTCAAATATGCCACAGAAGATTTCTCCTTGTGATTACAAATAAATTTAGACAAACTTTGGTTCATTCATTTCAGCTCAAGGGACCAGTGGGGTGAAATGTCTTATTATCGTTGGTGTCCTAGAGAATGTGAACCCCATCTGCCAGCCAATTTGGGCCCTATCTTGGACCTCCTTTGCAAATTCCCTGCAACCCTAGTGAGAGTTAAGTGTCTTGTCCCAGCCAGGGTTCAAAGTTGGACCACTTGATCTGAGTCCAGCGCACTAACCAGTCAACCATAACTTCCAGATTTCAGTAACACCGTATACAAACCTGGTTTCAGTGAGTAGAGTCCTTTGATAATGGACATCATGACCTGTGGGTCCACCCCAAATGGCCTGGACGACACCTGCTCGATCACTTCTGTAAAGGAACAAAGCTCTTTTGAGTAATTAACAGTCAAATTTTCCTCATAGAAATACCAGTCATGCAGCTGACAAAAGAAAAGAAACTGACTACATGCAACAATGTCTTCAAAGCCTTGTACTGGAGAAATGTTTGCAAACAATAACTTACATTTATTATAGTAAAAAAAAAAAAGCTTTTGAAGAAAAAAAAAAGGATAGGTTTAGGCCAAATAGAGCACAGTTTTCAAAATTTCAGAGATGATTGAAATCCTACTTTTCAAGCTTGTAAATTTCCATGCAGAGAAAACAAGTTTTGTTTAAACTGAGTTGACCATTTAATCTGTTAATCATGTCTGTTAAGTCTCTGGGGCAGCTCAGGCAGCATAGGCAAACCTAAAAAGAGGTTCTACATACTTTACAGAGAAATGATATATTGGTCAACCTGTGGGGTCAAAGAGCATTGAAACTTACCAAAGAGTAATGTATTGTCAGCAACAAGATTTGTGAAGAGTTTCCACAGTTCTGTCTTCAAATCAGTGTGAAGCTTTGGTATAACATAAAATCGGTTCTACAGGAAAATGTTTGGAAATAATAAAAAACAAAGTTTTACTGTTAGGAATGATTTCATTTAGCACCTAGGGTGCCAAATGAATGTACTTTTGGTAGCTCAAAGTAGGGTGATTATTGGAGAGAAGGGGACTTATGAGGGACAGGGTTCTGTAATGAAAATACATTTTTTTAAAAAATGTATATACCTGAAATTATGGGGTACCTACAATACTTAAATGAAAAACAACAGTAGGGGCTTTGATGGTCAGAACATTAAACATTATGTTCAGATAAGAAAGCAAACTTCATAATTCATTCATGCCATCATGTTTGTGTCTGGGATGTCACCATCACCACAGGATACTAAATGGAACAGGGGTGCCTATTGCAAATATGGCATTCAAGAGGAGTGCTTATTAGAAAGGAGGCACTTAATGGAAGGAGGGTATTGAATCAAATCCTTACAGCAGGCTTTAACTGGTACAAAGGTACTTAACAACTGCAGGTAGAATTATGTTTCATTACCCTGCTAAAAAATTAATGCATGCCATGAAATATGGAATGTCATGTTGGTCAGGTTTATGAAATTACAGAAAACATGCTGTAATGTGAGTCCTTGTTCACAATGGAATGATATGAGACAACCAAGATTGTACTAGAATGCAAACTGCTGTCTATTCCAATTTTACACATCCTTGGCTACAAAATGTGCTTCTCAAACTCATTAATAATTCATCACGTTTAAACAAAGGAAATCATGACCGTGACAATGTTTGGATATCTGATCTTAATTAGCACAGATTTTTACGATTTTCTTTCTCCATTTTCTCCTTAATTTAAATTTTGATTGAGAAGATATATCAAACACTCAAGACTCNAATGTAAAAGTGGCTTCACTTAGTTTCACAATATAAATATTTATTTTGAACAGCTAGTCATTTGGCAAATACTAATAAGTCTACTGTACTGTAAGTCATGGACCGCATTTTTTCCCCTCAAATGAGGATCCATAACTTACAGTACTGAGCAAGAAGACAAGGTTAGTAATATATTTATTATATTTTTACTGTGTGTCTGCGGGATTCGGGAACAATAGTTATTTCTATTCGTGCAAAACTGTTTTAAATTTCTGATGAATGTTGAAAGCAAAACGACTCAATTTGAAATCGTTGTTAAGTGACTCTTAGGTCCTTAGCAGGTTTTAATATTTAATAAAATTTCAGAAGTAAAAGAAAGTTTTAAACTTTTACTTGCTAAAAAAGTTAAGAACACTTGGCAATAAATCACGAAACATTTTGGCAAACAAAAGCAGCTTTAAATTTTAGCGGTCTGAACAGTAGAATACAGCCAGCGAAATTGACCAATCACAGCGCATTTACTAACTGAGAGATATAATTATAATGTTGATTACACTTGTAAACAGTTATTTACCTGTAGTTCTTCTGCAACACGTTTGAGATAGGAAGTTACAAGTTCAATAAGGTTGCAGTACATTTTATCGGCATATTGTTGGCACACACACTTGTACACAGTGCTAAGTAGTCAAGAAAGCAAAATGCAGTTAAATGCAATTTAATGGAGTTAACAACAAAAAGCACTTGAATTCCCCTGGTAGTCAGTGGTGTCGACACATGTGTATGTGTCGGAATTCCAGGTGCTCATGGATTGTAGCCTGGCGTATGCACAGGAGGCGTTTTCTGGCATTTTTTGTAGTGCGGCAGCTCATTGCTCAGGCAGTTCCCCTCCCACCCCTTTCCCTCCCTCTTTCCACTGTTCCAACAGTGTGATGGGTGCCTGTTCCTCTTACTGTGTAGGGGCTCATGGCTGGGTTGCCAGGATTTGCCAGCCATGGTAGCAGTCTTCATCTAGGAGCTGACTGCCAATAGTGGACGCTCCTGGATGTCTCAGGCACCCAACCTCCATTTTAGCGATGCAGTTGTTAAATAAAAATATTTACCAGTAAAGAAAAAATGAAGAAGCTAGTCATAAAAGGGGATAAGTGACGATTTTGGTTGCTTTTCTTTTTTCTTGCTCCAAATTAGCTGAATTTTTGCATGTGGTCTTCAATGTAATAGAAAAACGTGTTCCTGTATTTTTGCCGCTGGTTT